AACATCAGAAGTTTAAGAAATTGGGCAATATTATTGTTAATAACCCAGAAACCATTCATTTCATAATCTTGACTGAAATCTGGATTTACACCAACGAAGAGCAGTAATCTAACCTCAAGTCATCTAGAACAGAGAAACTCGCAGGGAAGGAGCATCCATTTTTATAGCGGATGGAATAAAGTATGTAAAAAATGACACATCCTTGTATAACTTTGGTGATTGCAACATAATATCGCTTTATTCACCTGATCAGAAGCTACCAAGAAAAGGTAAGTTACGGTAATTAATATGGCACATTTAAGAGATCCATAGGTAAATAATTATACAAGCTAGACGGAATCCTTGGAAGTTTTCACAAATTTGAGATCTAAAAGTACCAAACTGGCTGGAGGCAACCAAATAATGGTTGAAGATCAACTTCTTACAGGACACCAACATTTTTTGAAAAGGGGGCCCAGATTTATTCTGAGATGCAGAGCAGCATGGTCTCAAATTCGTCAATTTTCACTCAGAAGTGTAGGCGCGGATTTTTCGTCTTGCCAAAGTGCCTGAATGAATTAGGCAACATTGTAAGGGAAAAAGTAGAGCGGGAAGATGTGAGGACTTTTGAAAAATTGGCGGAAATCATAAATAAGGCTAAAAAGGAATGCACAATAGTAGTGATAACATGAAGATAAAGGAAAGTAACTATTGAATAACATACGAAAATTTGAAAAAAAAATATCTCAGGGACAAGTTATATGTTCGGCATGAGAAAATACAAAATGAGTGGACAAAAAAAGAATTCAACAAAATAAAAAACGTAGTAAATAACCTAGGAAAAAACTATAAAAGGAGTATATGTAGCAAAAAAAAAATTCATGACGCTCAGGGTGACACCAAAAAACATGGAAAGTATTATAGTATATTATCTATATATTACATGCGAGGTGGAAAGTGTTTCATTATTGTTGAGCAAGGGGTAAACCACCATCCTAGAATTGATGCAAACAATTCCTCAAAGGGGAATTTTTTACGCATAATTCCTCAAAATTCCTGCAAATTCCTCCAAATTCCTCCAGATACTCCATCACAAATTCTTCCAAATACCCTACCACGAATTCCTCTAAAAAAAAAGGAAAATTCTGAAACTTTTTGCTGTGTAAAGAGGAAGGTGAGAAGATCATATTTTCCCAAAATTTTTAATTTTTCTAGTGGAAAACAGCAACATGAAAAATCTTAGAAATCAACCTACACAAACTAAATTAGTTGAAAATACAGTCTCCCACATTTCAAAATTTTCCTGGAAAACTTATGAAGGGAAAATTTTGAAACTTTTGCATGTAAAGAGAAAGGTGAGAAGCTCATTTTCCCAAAATTTCAAATTTCTTCAATGAAAAATTACAACATGAGAAATCTTGAAAATCAACCTACAAAAACTGAATTAGTGGAAAATACAGTCTCACATATTTTAAAGTTTTCTTGGAAAACTAGTGAAGGGAGATATTTGAAACTTTTTGCATGTAAAGAGAAAGGTGCGAAGCTCATTTTCTCAGAATTTCAAATTTCTCCAGTGAAAAATTACAACATAAGGAATCTTGGAAGTCAACCTACAATAACGGAATTAGTTTAAAATACAGTCTCACATATTTCAAAGTTTTTCTGGAAAACTAGAAAAAGGAAAATTTTGAAACTTTTCAAAGGAAGGTGAGAACATCATTTTCCCAAAATTTCAAATTTTTCCAGTGGAAAACAGCAACATGAAAAATCTTGGAAATCAACCTACAAAAACTAAATTAGTGGAAAGTACAGTCTCACACATTTCAAAGTTATCCTGGAAAATTACTTTGAAACTTTTTGCATATGAAGAAGAAGGTGAAAAGCTCATTTTCTTAAAATTTAAAATTTTTCCAGTGGAAAACAGCAATGAAGAATATTGGAAATCAACTAACAATAACTGAATTAATTGGAAATACAGTCTAACATATTTCAAAGTTTTCCTGGAAAACTAGAAAAGGGAAACTTTTGAAACTTTTTTGCATGTAAAGAGGGAGGTAAGAAGCTCATTTTCCCAAAATTTCAAATTTTTCCAGTAGAAAACAGCAACATGAAAAATCTTAGAAATCAACCTACAAAAACTGAATTAGTGGAAAATACAGTCTCACATATTCCAAAGTTTTCCTAGAAAACTAGTGAAGGGAGAAATTTGAAATTTTTTGCACGTAAAGAGAAAGGTTAGAAGCTTATTTTCCCAGAATTTCAAATTTTTCGAATAAAAAATTACATGAGGAATATTGGAAATCAACTTAGAATAACTGAATTAAATAAAAATACAGTCTCACATATTTCAAAGTTTTTCTGGGAAACTAGTGAAGGGAAATTTTGAAACTTTTTGCATGTAAAGAGGAAGGTAAAAAGCTCATTTTCCCAAAATCACAAATTTTTCCAGTAGAAAACAGCAACATGGAAAATCTTGGAAATCAACCTACAAAAACTGAATTAGTGGAGAATACAGTCTCACATATTCCAAAGTTTTCCTAGAAAACAAGTGAAGGGAGAAATTTAAAACTTTTTGCATGTAAAGAGAAAGGTTAGAAGCTCATTTTCCCAGAATTTCAAATTACTCCAGTAAAAAATTACATGAGGAATATTGGAAATCAACTTAGAATAACTGAATAAATTGAAAATACAGTCTCACATATTTCAAAGTTTTCCTGGAAAACTAGTGAAGGGAAAATTTTGAAACTTTTTGCATGTAAAGAGGAAAGTAAGAAGCTCATTTTCCCAAAATTTCAAATTTTTCCAGTAGAAAACAGCAACATGAAAAATCTTGAAAATCAACCTACAAAAACTGAATTAGTGGAAAATATAGTCTCACATATTTCAAAATTTTCCTGGAAAACTAGTGAAGGGAGAAATTTGAAACTTTTTGCATGTAAAGAGAAAGGTTAGAAGCTCAATCAACATAAGAAAGGCTTCTGAGAGAACCGAAACTTACCTTGAAAAAAGCAGTGTATCATTGTAGGGCTGTGAAAGCAAGCAAGTTCCAAGCTCAGACTCTAGCAAATGAAGCATCTGTAAGTGCCATCAGACTCAGGAAAGGTTCAGAAAGAAAGAGTCTAGGAAAGAAGCGAATGAAAATAGAAGTCAACGGAAAAAAGTGAGTGAGGTGAAAGTGTCAGGATTGGGTGGAAATGTTGATAATGACCAGAGTAATGGTGGCTCTGATGATTTTTATATTGGGTTATTAGTGAGGAGTGTTGATGGGCTGACGTCGAAATCTGATATCGGGTGGACCAAGGAAATAGTTGCGGAAGGTACAACTATTGAATTTAAACTGGACACAGGAGCTGAAGTAAGTGTGATTCCTGAACATATTTCAAAAAAGCATGGCATTAAAAAGGACATTAAAGAATCTCGAATAACTTTAATTTCGTATGGCAGCCCTGATTTTAGAATTAACCCCATCGGAGAAGAAAAATGTTGAATTTTTGTATGCGAAAGTGTTTGGGGGATTAGGTCAATTTCCAACTGAGCATAAAATTGTTCTAAAAGAAAATGCTAGACCCCATATTTAGGCAGTGAGACGCATACCTCAAACTCTTCACAATAAAGTTTAATTGAAACTAAAAGACCTTGAGAATCAGGGCATTATTAGAAAAGTTGAGGAGCCTACAGAATGGTTAAATCCCCAAGTAATAGTGAAAAAGAAAAATGGAGATTTGAGGTTGTGTCTCGACCCGAAATACTTTTAAATGAAAATATACAGCGTGAAATTTTTTTAATTCTAACTAGCAAATTCAGTAATAAAGTCATTTTTACAGTATTGGATATGAAAGATGGTTATTCCTAAGTCAAAATTGATGATCATTCTTCGGATTACTGCACATTTGGAACATCATTTGGTCGTTACTAATTTTGTCGGCTGCCTTTTGGTTCGAGTTCTGCTCCAGAAGTTTTTCAAAAGAAAAATTTCGAGCTTTTTGGTGACATTGATGGAATAGAGATTTATTTTGACGATCTTATTATTTTGGGTAAAACAGAGGCTGATCATGATAGAAATTTGAAGCGCGTTCTTGACTAAATAATATTAAGTTTAACCAGGACAAAATACAATTTAAATCAAAATTTCTGGGACAGGTTTTTCCGAAAGATGGTGTCAAAGCCAGTAACTCTTATATTAATGCCATTTTGGAAATGCCGAATCCCCAAAATAAAGCTGATCTCTTAATATTGCTTGGCATGGCTAAATTTTTGGGTAAGTTTATCTCCAATTTGTCAAAAGTGACTGCGCCCCTCAGAACCTTGACTCGCCACGATGTGGATTGGAAGTGGGCCAGCGAACATAATGAGTCGTTAAAATAATTAAAGCATTTACTGACTAATGCTTCTTTGACCTTTCCTTGCCAATGGAAATTGAAACTGACGCCTCAAAAAATGGCATTGGCTCTTGTTCATTGCAAAATGGCCTTCGCTTCGAGAAGTCTAACAAAAAGTGTAGCAAATTATGCTCAGATTGAGAAGGAACTTTTGGCAATCTTGTTCAGCTGTCAAAAGTTTCATTATTTTGTGGATGGTGTTAAAAATGTTAAGGTTTTTATTGACCACAAACCACCAGAGTCAATTTTAAGAAAAAGCCTACAGTCTGTATCTTCAAAGACTTCAGCTCTTATTATGCCTCAAGACGGGTTATATTTACAGATATCATATCGCTGAAACTTTGTAACTGCATAATTTCTAGTAAAGTTCAATTTTGAAACTCGATAGCTTAGGAAGCTCAGAAGCTGCTAGAGTAAATTTAACTTAGTTTCAAAGAGAATTTAACGCTCTTTCCCATGATATATAATTTAAATTATTTGAAATATTAGCAATTATCTATAACTATGGTAGGATTTCCAAAAAAATCCAAAACCAAAAAACATTCGGATATGATATAGGACTCTTTTTTGACTCAGGTTTGATCAATTCTTATCAGATTTCCACACTTATCACAATAAGGGAAGTAAAATTAAAATTCTTACCCTGGCGGATGGAAAGCCTGAGGAGGTTGATGATGGGTCCAGGCGAATCGGTCCACCGGCGGAGGTGCAGGAGGTCCTGGCGGAAACGCGGCGAAAGGACCTCCAGGAAACGGCATCAGAGGCGGACCCGCGGTAAGGCCACCACCCGGACTTTCCTGTTTTTCCGGCATCGATTTACTCAACTATAACAGACTGAAATTGAAAAATAAGTATATGTACGAAAAAATTACAGATGTTAGAATACAAAATACAAAATAATAAATAAAAAGAACTTACATTTAACAAAACCGCCATCATTAGCAACCAATTATCCAGAAACGCAAAATAGAAAAAAAAAATCCCAAAACAAAAAAGTCACTTAAAAGTCAATAATTTGGAATTGTTTATATTATTATAAAAGTCACAATCGATAAGCACAAGAAAAAATTAATATACATAAATCAAAATAATGTACGTCACTGAATTATTCCGACGACTTAATGGTACTCTTGACGTGCGACACTGATTCCGTGCGGCAATGCGGCTCGGTACGGACTAAGAAAATCCGGCTCAAGAAGGACCGCGGTCAGAAAATTGAGCCACGCAAACGGGAAGGGGTAGAATGAGGCAGTGGCGCGCGGCACTGCCTTGGTTTGATGTCTTCATTAAGAAAGGAAGAATGCCGAGGCCCCTGTCTGCAATATTGGAAGCGTGTTACTTATGTTGTTGGTTGCACCTTCATCTGGGGGCCTTTGCAATAATAGTCAACACCATTCGTTTTAGGAATTATTATATGGACAGAGTTTTCGAGATATGGTGTAATTATCAGATCCTTTTAATGGAGAATTAATTTCTAAGTAAAATTTTCTTTTTAAGACATTTTTATAAGATTGATTTGCTTGTTGAAGAGAAACTATTTACAAAAAAAAAAAATTGAGTTTCCTGGAGCAAGCTGGATTTCATCTTCTTAATTTTCGGTTTCATTGGATTCTTAAATGTTCAAATCAGGAATTTACTTAATATATAGTGGTTGAATTAAGATCCCTTCTCTATGACGGTACTTATGCAAATCAAACTTATCATCAATCTTCTTAAATTCGAAAATTACCCACGCGAACATCTCTATTCCCCTATAGCAAAAAAAAAAAGTACCAGCTGTTAGAGATTAAAAATAGAGCTTAATCGGGCAACAAGCTCAGTCAACTGCAGAACATGGGATTTTCGGATTATTGTACCATATAGAGATATTATAACCGCTATACATAAAAATGATCCCTCCATGAGGATTATAGAGAGAGGGTCACCATCAATAAACTTTCTAAGTTTATTCTATTCACACAGAACGGAGACTCATTAATATATCAAAAGTTAATTGTGGTACCTGTCTTACATAATTTCTAATTTTTGATGCTAACAAATGGTCCAACAGGTGAAAGAAGTCTAATTAAAATCAGACAGAATCCACACCATAAATTTTGACCATTCGAAAGAAGAAAAAGGTTCTCTTTGGTTGGGTACAGTCTGGTGAAGAAAATAAATTAAAATTTAAAGGCTATAATATAAGAGAATCAATCTATAAATACCTAGTTTGTTTTTTGGTTGAAGAATTTTATCAAAAAGTCTAGAATTCTAATAAAGTGTTGAAGTACTTATTGAAGAAAATCTTGGTACCCATTTTTGTTTTTTTTTGTTTTTTGATCAGACTGTACTCGAAGAACCTGACAAGGGTAATAAACACGTCAAAAGCCGACAAAAGAGTGGATTTCTCTATCTCTCTCGAGGACGAAAAGAAGAGATTAGGAACGGTCCGTTGTTGAGTGTAAAAAGTCATTTAAAAAGGGCCCGTGGAAATGGATTGATATAGCGATTCCAAGGCCCATTTTCCGTGATTCGTTTCGTGTGTTCATATACCCAAACAGAACACTTCTCTATATTTCTTAAATTATTTGCAAGCTTTTATTGGAAAATCAAAAAAGTTTTTAAAGCACGACTGCCAATTTGCCGAGGTCCGAAATTAAGCGGTTATAAATCCGTACGTCGAGGAGGCAAGCAAGGCTTTTGACGGATTCCCCTTGGGGCTCACGACCTCTCTTCTACACGACCGTTTTGCAACAATTTTATTTTTTTTCTTAAATTCTCATGCACAAAGAGAACATGGTGACAGTAGCAGCTCGTTAACTTCATCGGGAATGAAAATATGCCGTTCATCATAGAAAAGGAGGATAAATCTGTCACCGAAATGCAGTTTTCAACCCGATATTTTCAGGGAGAGAGAGGCGACCAAAGTCGGAACACATGTAGAAACCCATAAACAACTTTCTTGATGGTCGCGCCGGAGGGATTGCAATAAGCTAAATGTGTTGAAATATCGAGCCAAAAACTATTTATTTTCAATCTATTAAACTTGGTAAAATATACATTGAGAAAATATTCAAGCAATTCAAATCTTAATATCATTTTCTAAATGTATTACAAATAAATTCAAATTCAAATTTAGAACCAATGTTCAAGAGTTAAATAACAAAATTACAACCCTAGTTGTGCATACAGTATCTGGAAATCAGCAGTCGGAGGGAATGCAACCTACACTGATAGAATGGCAGGAAAGGGAGGTTAGAGCATTAAATGTTCTTATATTTGGGGCTGGCGGACTTTACCCACCTCCACTGTAAACCCTCTTCCGTAAAGTTCTCCATTAATCTATTTTCAAAAGGCTCTTACCCTGAGATGGCACTTTATCATATCCCCAGGGCCGATCCTAGGGTATCGGCCGCCCGCGTGCAAGGAGCAATTACGCCGCCCCATAGAGATATAGCCTCCCTTACCTAGGTGTTAGTAGTGGTAGCCCGCCGCAGGCGCCGCCGGAGGTTGAATTTTTTCTTTTGAATGCCACGCCCAAAAACGTTAATTTCGAGCCTCAAAATGAACATTTTTGGGCATTTAAAGTTAAAAAGAACTTGTTTGGAACATATTTGATTTCTATGAGTTGTTTTGAATGCGGGTGAGTGGTGATCAATAATGACAAACATTATCCTGAAAGTAAAGTAGGGCCTGGACTTGGTCCTGGATACGAAAGTGAAAAATAGGGCCTTGTGGAAAATCAAGACACCTTAGTCCCTAGTCGTCATTATAATTCGTAAAGTTTTACTTGAATCTTGAATGACAGAATTATAAGGCGGCCTGTGGCCGCCCCTATATTTGGCCGCCCGCGTGCGGGGCACGCGCTGCACACCTGCTAGGATCGGCCCTGCATATCCCTTCACTTTCTTGAAAACTAAAGAATATTAAACCAATTCTTCCATTTGTATTCGAATTCGTCAATTTTGGGGTTGGCCCGGGTCAAATCCCCAAAATTTCAGATCAAAAGTGCCGCCGATCTAGAGATTTTCCCACGGTAGCGAAAAACTTCCCAGGCTCAAGTGCCCCCAGCTATCAGACCAATACCCACCTCTACTACGTAAGTGGTCCACCAGATTCACAAGCAAAATGTTATTATTGCAATGGAGTTTAGAACACTATTGACGAATACAAATGCAGGAATAGTTGAAATATTCTGTAGTTTTCAAGAAAGTGAAGGGATATGGAAAGAGGTACCTCTTCAGAGTAGAAGCTTTTTGACGTAGTGGAGGTGGGTATTGCTCTGATAGCTGTGAGGTGGGTATTGGTCATAAACAGGTGCATTAATTTTATTGAAATAATAAATATTTTGCTTGTGAATCTGCTAGTCTGATAGCTGGGGGCACTTGAGCCTGGAAAGTTTTTCGATACCGTGGGAAAATCTCTAGATGAAAATAGATTAATGGTGGGCTATGATGACTATGCCGGAGTGGGGCTTTTACGTGGTAGAAGTGGGTATTGTTCTGATAGCTGTGAAAACACTCTACTCTTTACCCTTATAGCCGTCCTTTTTTTTCCAATTTTAGCAGACACCGCAAAAAACTTACATAAGCACCAAGCAACACTAGTTCCCGCATGGAAAGGTGTGAACTACGTTGTTAGAAATGTATTATCATTCCCTTCTTAGACACTCGTCCGAATGTAAATTAAAGAATGCTGGTGAACGTTTTTGGGTGTGGTTTCTGGAGAAGTTTTTTCGCCACCGGCGGGCTGTTCACCTCCCCTCATAAATGCATGAACATCAGCACCCACGAGGTTTTCTGAAACCCGGCGCCCCTGCTGGATTGTGTCAGCAGAGAGACTGTCAAAAGTAACCAAGTTGTCAGGGTAGGAATCTACAATCCACAGAAAAGAATACCAATCAAGGTGATTTTTCCCTCAAAGGAGGAAGCTCAAGAAATTGTTAACAGAAATGCAAGAAAGAGTTAACAAAGGGGAAGATAACCTTTTAAAATGAAATACATCAGTGGTCTTTCAAAAATAATTAAGGTTAGACCATCTGGGATACATGGCCTCAGTACTGACCACTCAAAAAAAGCTTCGGTTAATTTCTTTTTGAAGAAAATTTTTGTACTTACCCACTGTAATTTGACGCAATAAAAATAAATCACTCTGTAAAAATACAGAGTTATCAATATGTTATAATTCCCGACTGTTGTAGAAAATCTTTCACGAAAGATACCTAATGATCGAAAACAATTCTACCACTGTGTAAAGATACAGAGTGATCAATATTTCATTTCTCTAGTTTTTACCGTAGAAAATCTTTGACAAGAGCCGGTAATAGAAACGATTTTACTCACTGTAATTTGACTCACCAAAAATAAGCTACTGTAAAGATACAGAGTGATAAGGGACTGGGCAAAAATCATCATTCATATTTAAAAGTAGTAAGAGGTTAGGCACAAAATGGCGGCGTTATGAATCATATGGGATTTTAAAGAACCAATCAAAAATGAGACAGCAATTGTCACCACTGTGGTGATAAAGTCACTAGCCACAAATTGAAAGTCGCGACCCCTATAATGTCCCAGTTTTCATAAGAATTTGTTTAATAAACCACTGGATTTTTAACAAAATTCCAATATATTCTAACCTATGGACGAAACTATGCGTTATTTTTTTATTTTGTTCACTTGGCACTCGCGTATTTCAAAAAATGATGCTGGAAATAAATTTTAGTAGATAAGCAAAGGGAGTTCTAGCATCAAAATCCGACCACAACCTCAATCTTGCACTCTCGAAAGATGGCGCAATTACGGTTGACAGATGACGTTTGACAAGATGGCACCTTCGTGTCCAGAATGCAAGATTGAGGTTATGGTCGGATTTTGATGTTAGAACCCCCTTTGCTTATCTACTAAAATACACTGCGGAATTGAATACTGAATAGTTAGGGGTTAAATAACGAATCAGTCTTGCCGTTCAATTTAAGTTTGCGCAAGCAAGTTGACGGACATGACGGAACGTCTATCTCGGTCTCAAGACTATGTTGGACTTCTGTCAAAAGGCCAATTGTTTACTATACAAATTCTTTTGGAAACTGCCGCTAGGGGAATTTGTGACTGGCACCTATAGGATATCTTTCACAGGAACCGGTAATCAAGTACAATTATTCTACCACTGTATAAAGATACACAGGGTGATCAATATTTTATTATACCTGGCTCTTAATGTAGAAAATCTTCCACGAGAGCCGGTAATGAAGACAATTTTTCTATCTTTCTATATTTTCTATCTTTAGCCGTTTTCTATCCTTAGGATATAGGCCTCTTTCAAATTTGGCCATTGTCTGTGGTTTTGCGCAGTTCGGTACCAATTTCCCA